AGATGGACACAGTAGCTGGACAAGAGAAGTTGAGAATATAGATTACTACAGATTTCCTGTGGAGATAACTGGCTAAATAGGTTTTGTCCTCAACAGTTAACAATGCTTGCAACTGTCTATGATCACTGCTGCCAATTATGGCAGTATAAAAAGCCTTTCAATACACCTGTCAAGCTTAGCCCCCTTATTCCTAGTGTTCCATTACCGGAATGCTAAGCATGCGGAGTTATTTATATACTACTGTTCAAGGTCATCGCTAAGGTCTGATTTTTCACTCACGCAGAAGTTTTAAAAATTGCAACCTGAGGCATAAATGGGTTAAGCATTTATGTTTGCTGTAAGCATCATTAGAAAAAGGTATAGTACAAAAGGAACTGTATAAAATATGTAAGGAATATATTAGAAGATGTTTCATATAAATCTTATTCCCAGACACAATCTTTGGCAGTATTGAGTGACAGAATAGCCACAAATTTTTAGGTTATTTATGGAGTTTATAAATAGGATGTTTGACATAAATATTACTATAAATTTGTGCTATTGTTTCTAAAATCTACAAAATTATTAAAAAATTATTATGGATGGATTATCCATTGTGCTTATGTGACATTAACACATTTAACATAATAAGAAATAGCAAATGTTTATCTAGCTTAAGAATGGAGACTAAAATTTTAAATTTGATTTATATTTAAAACATGAAAAGAATTAATTGGATAATTTGGATGCTGAAATGCTGCTTGACATAGAAATGTCGCTCAATTAAAAATGGATTTTGTATATGTCTAAATACTAAGAATTGTTTTTCTAGTTTCGCAGTCTGCTAGAATGGATCAGAATATAAAGGATCAGAATTTTCTTTTTTAACAATTTATTTGAATAGAAGTAGGCAGATTTAGCCCTCAACTTATCAGTTTAGTAATTTTGAAATTAAATCACAGTGTTCCATAGAGTTTTAGAATTATTAGAAACCACAAAAACTAGGTCAACTTAATAGTTTACTTAAATGACATGCTTTCATATTTTAGACAAACTAATCTTGGAATCCCAGCTGCTGGAAGCATCTGTTACAGAGATGTAGACAAAGAGAAGCAATATGTCATCTTAACTGGCTAAAAGAAAGAGAATGCTATGTTAGTCTATTCCTTGGCACAGATTGTTATCAAATCTCAAATATTCCATTGGGGTTTAATTGTTTACTAACTTTTCAGGATAATAAACCCTTAAAGAGTTCCATTATTTAATAAATAAAATTCAGCAAATAATGGGCTTTTTTGTAAACATTCATTTTAGTTTCAATCTTTACCATATTGTCAAGATAATTATTGTCCAGATTCAAATGTCTTCAATTTTGTCAACAAAACAAGTTGAAAAGAGAAATAACAGCCTCAAATTGATTTCAAGTGAATGGGATTCTCTTTTTTGACTTCAAAAGAATGGTTCTTACCTGCATCAGCATGGTAGGATTCAAAAGTAATCTAATAACATTTATTCACTTCCCAAATACTTATTACAAGAAGCTAAATACTGTTGTTCAAGTTAGGTAATTATTACAGTCACTATCAGAAATTAAGTAAAACAAGCAAAAAATGCTAATGGAGTTACTGTAACCTTATTTGCAAATGTAAGCCAATTTAAGTGATCAGCGAATATCTTCACATAATATCACAGAAACCCAATTAAATTAATTTAAAACACTGAATTACTTCCAGGGTTGACTTGTAATCAGCACTGAAACTTTTCTAACAACTAATTAAGAAAGGTAGTACACAAAGTTATGTTTCTAATTCATTTAATACCACAGTCTCTAAAGGCATTTTCAATTAGCTACATTTTCTTTAGTTTTACTCAATTTATCAAAGTTAGATAAAGCTTGAGACTAATGTTAAATGGTTATGACTCTGGTGAAATATTGTTTCTGTCTTCTTATAAGGGATTTCTATCCCTTGATGAGGCAACGTTTTCAGTAGAAAGTGGTTGCTAAGGAAAATCAATGAAAATGTTATATACCGATCAAACTCGGTTATTGTTTGCAAAAAGTAAAATTATATTAGGAGAGAATTAGAAGTAATTTTCTGAGTGGGAAATATTTTTCTTGTAATTGTGGTAAAATTAGACAAAGCTTTTATATGTTTTCTAGAAACAATGAGTTCTGAAGGAGACTCAGAAATGACAGGAAAGGAGAAGCAGAGAGAAATGCAGCCCTTCTTATTTCCCAACCTCTTTTGCCTTTAAAAGGAAACGAGAAATTGAGATGACACCCTTTCACCACCTGGAGAAAAAAATCAGGAAGACTTTTTTCCTGGTGTGAAGACTAGCAAAATATTCCCAAGAGAATGCTGAATGTTAAACAAACAACCATGTCAGCTAACACTTCAACATTGTCTGGTTCTTCACAAAGCCTGGAATTATTCTCAAATTTTTCATGTTACTCATAAGCTCAAGTACACATTTCTTCGGTGCCTATTTGAAACATTCACCACTCACTTTCTCCGGTCCTGCCCCTCCTTTTCTCTTAGCTCATGATTCTACTTTACTGACAAAAGCTGCCATCCAGCCCCACCCACCCTCACATCTTCACATCCTCCCTGCAGTCTTAGGAGAAGGGCACACTCCCGCCAGGGCTTGATCTTCTACCTGGGCCCTAGCATTGACTTCCTTCTCTTGTAAGGACCTTGCTCCATCAGTTATCACGTCAGTGCCTCTCACATGGCTTTTGGAATATAATGTGCTCAAATTTCACTCACTTTAAAACAAAACATGTAAATAGCTAATAATAATCATAGGCACACATGCACACAACAACAACAACAACAACTACTACTACTAATTCTGTGTATGTCAGCTATTATGTCCCATCTAAAGGCCACCCCATTCTCTTTCTTGAATGGTTAACTTATACTCACATTTAAATATCCAGAATTACTTCTGGAAACACCACCATGGTTACCACATTCTTGTACATCTCTAAGGCTGCACAGTGATTGCCGTTTGTCTTTCTACAGTCCTGAGTAGGCTGTGGAGTAACTGAGGCCCTAGGTTGTTCACCTGTATCCCCAGCATGTGGCACAGTGAATCAGGCAGAAAGGTACTCAGTAACACTGACTGAAGGTAATAGTTTTCTGTAAACCTTCTCAACTAGTGATACAGTCCTCACTTTCTTCCTTCCTTGCCCAGGATAAGACAGTTACGGACTTAAAATTTTGAGTTGAAGTCATAGTAACAGAGTTGTCTTCTATCACGTCTCTAAGCTTTGTTGCAAAATGTTGTAACTAATTGTTAACATATGTTTATCTATCACTGGACTCTGAGCTCCAAGAACTAAGGATCTAACATTACTTAACCTTCCCATTTGAAATACTAAATAAAAGATTTCAAAAATTATCTAAAGAAAAGAAAATCAGGAAGGAAGGAGACGGAGTTTTTTGAATAGGGGGAGGGGATCAAGGCGAGGGGGCGAGTTTGTAAAACACAGTGAGGTAAAATGATGAAAAAAATAATTCCAAAATTCTCACTTGATTTAATATAAAATAGTAATTATTTGTCAAAAGATTAACAATGCATGTTTAATTAAATAAAATATATCTTCTTTTCTACATACACTCAAATTTTAAAATTCACCATCCACATTGTATGACATATCTAACTTCCCCACTTATCTCAAGGGATAGTCTTAATCTTCATAATAAGATAATAAGATTATATACTTTGTTACTTTAAAAACATATGACAATAATACTAAAGTAATGGAAATGGAGCATCAAAACATAGGTCAATCATTGATTTCATGACCATCCTAAGAGCTAACAGACACGCGCTGTTATTTTGATTTTACAGCTGAGAAAACGGAACTTCAGAGAGGTTAAGAGGTGTGCACACTTGGAATTCTGAAAAAAATTGAAGAAGGTGAAGGTAAAAGGGAGAAAGAAATATCAAATTTGCTCTTTGAAAATGCTTCATTGGGAGAAATGCAATTTTAATCGGCAATGACAAAAGCTTACTTAGCGTTTACCTCTTGGAGCCCAGCTCTGACCTTTTTGTGATAGAAATTTTACCAAAAGAAAAAGCAGGAATCACTTCATAGCCCTTTGGATAACCTATTTTTTTTTTTTTTTTTTGAGAGGTCTGTGCCTTTCAAGTAATTTATTCCCCAAACACTCTTAAATTCTAGGGTGGCAAGAAAAGTAATTGTTAACTAAAAGCTTAACATCTAATACAGTTTACATCCTTTTTTTTTTTTGACATATGATACAGTAATAGATTTCCCTTTGTATGTGTGTGTAACATGCATATACTTTGGAGAGTTCTTGGATAATTTATATGTATCGATTCAGTAATAATACCGTGTTCCTCTGCCACAAGGCACCTTCGTGTTTCTCCCATCCTATTTGGCCCAACTAGAATTTCCCTCACCATATTTACTTCCTTTGTTTATTCATCTTTCCCAGCTGTTTTTTTTTCATATCCTTTTATGGGGCCATTCTTCTGTAAGTTTTAGAGTACCCAGAGCAGCATCTTTTATTTTATTATAGAAACTTGAGCAAGAGGGATTTGCAAGATATGTATGTCTATTGTCATTTAAATGTGAATACTTTAAAAAAGTTCTTCCAGAACCAAAACATTGGAGTGTGACAATGAAAATACTTGTTGCATTCAAGTAGTAGTAATGTGGAGGATTTTTTATTCTTTTTCTGAAAAGTAACTTTTATGTTTTATACAGTTTGGCGATAAATAAGGAAACAGAGTCTTGTAACTGTGGCATCTTTGCTTTGATGACAGATTCAAAGTTAAAAATACAATTTAATGTTTAGCAAATACATTTTATCAGGAATTCAACTTCCAAATATTATTTGCCCCTAGGGAAAAATGTGACCTATTTATCCACAATCTGTGTTATGACTTTTTCCATTTTTTAAAATGAAAAGCAGAGATGTCTGATCATTCTTACCTTATTTTTCATGGCTAAACATTGAGAGGCAAGCAATATGCAAGAGACTTACCCACTCTTCCTCATCGTAGTCTGAATGATGTGGTATGGAGTCCTGTCTTCTCATCAGTGGGGGCTGGTCTTGGGGACTGCTCTCCTCTGTGCTGCTCTTAGGAGAGGGCGGCTTCTTAAGAATACCTCCTGGCCTTGCAGTGTAGAGGGCTAAAAGAGCACTCCTGACGAGTTGATCCTTGAAGGCATGTACAAAGAGCTCTGTCTGCAAAGAAATTGACAAGGCATCTCAGTATACAGCTGTGAAAAGGTCAGTTGCAGATTTGTTGGTACTTAAGTGGTGTGTATGGTAGAAAAAGTACAGACAACCAAAGAGAGAAAATGAATCATACCAATCAATGGAAAATAGTTCGGTTTTGGGATGTGGCCAAGGCCTTAAGTCCTCCTGTTTTAAAGTTAATGCTGAGGTTTTAAATGCATTATAAACACCATCTCTCTTCTCAAACTTCTCCCTTTTAGTTTCACAAATCCTGTCTTTGGAGATGAATTTCACTGGGGGTAATCATTTGAACAACATCTACCTGCTGCAGCTTTCAAGTCATTCCATACACACCTTAAAAAATGTAATCAGACTATATATATTTTATTAAAACTGCAATTACTTTTGCACCAACCTATTTTAAATGAAGACTAAAGAAAGACATATGTCTTTAAAGAAAGGAGTTGTATTTTTTTTTTTTTTTTTGTATCATAAACAGATCTCAACAGTAGAAATGGCATATGCAGTCTTCTTCATGAAAACATCAGGCCTGTATTCCTTATTATCACCTCCTAAATGCTTTCTTCAACCAAATTGTTTCAGTAATGCTTAATGTTAATGAGGTTACTGTGAAACTTGGCATATAGATTTTACAAGCTGGGGGCAAATACCTAGTAAGCGATAAAGCAATAAAGCCTTCCCAACAATAAATAACTTTACAGCTGTACTTTGCAATTTCCTAATGAAATGTTTAATAGTGTCACCGTGTAATAGACTGAAGGGTACAGTAATTAGTATACTTAACATGCATGTGGCCTAAAAATATGTTCAAAGATTAGAAATGTAAGTCAAGCAATGGCCCATATTGTTAACATAAATACTATGTAATCTCTTAGGAAGGAACCTTTTAGCTCATAGCCTTGTACTGAATAATAATTGATATTGTCATCATTTAATGAGACACTCTTGATGATACTGGCTTCACCACTGATATAACACACCATCGTTATTTCTTGGTGCACTCTCAATATACAATCAACAGTTCTACGCCTAACTAGTTTAAATTATCTCTAAATCTTATTGTCAGCATCAACAACTAAAGAAAACCAGTTAAGCCCCCTGTAAAACAAGTGCCCAATAAGACTTTGTTAAATCTGCATAGTTACTTATTTGCCATAGATCATAAAATTCTAGAGGTGAAAGGAATATTAAAGTTGATGTCTTCATTAACTAAGATAAGAAAACTAAGAAAGAAGTGTGGTGATATGTTATAGGGAATATTGCCTATAGGCAGCACAAATGGAACAGGATGAAGTATTCTAACAAATCAGCAGCTTTCTCCCTGGTTCCACACTACTCACCTCTGTCATAAAACTAGATGTTTCTGCTGTAGAGGGACCTGTTAGAAGGAAAACTAAAAAACAAAAAGCGATAGCTTTAACATCAAAAAAAAGGACGTCCACTCAGAGACACCATCCAAAATCAGCGACCTCAAAGATAAAAGGTAAATAAATCCACAAAGATGGGGAAAAAAACAGTGTGAAAAGGATGAAATCATCAAAGACCAGAATGTCTCTTCTTCTCCAAGGGGTCACAACTCCTCACCAGCAAGTGAACAAAACAGGATGCAGAATGAGTTTAACCAATTGACAGAGGCAGGCTTCAGAAGGTGAGTAATAATAAATTTCTCTGAGCTAAAGGAACATGTTCTAACCCAACGCAAAGAAACTAAATACCTTGAAAAAAAGTTAGACAAAATGCTAACTAAAATAACCAGCTTAGAGAAGAACATAACTTGATGGAGCTGAAAAACACAGCAAAAGAACTTCACGAAGCATAAACAAGTTTCAATAGCCGAATTGATCAGGCAGAATAAAGGATATCAGAGATTGAAGATGAATTCAGTGAAATAAAATGAGAAGGCAAGATTAGAGAAAAAAGAGTGAAAAGAAATGAACAAAACCTCAAGGAATATGGGATTATGTGAGAAGACTTAATCTATGCTTGATTTGTGTACCTGAATGTGACGAGGAGAATTAATCCAATCTGGAAAACATTCTTCAGGATATTATGTAGTAGAACTTCCCCAACCTAGCAAGGCAGGCCAACATTCAAATTCAGGAAATACAGAAAACACCACAAAGATATTCCTCAAGAGGAGCAACCCCAAGGCACATAATTGTCAGATTCACCAGGGTTGAAATGAAGGAAAAAATGCTAAGGACAGCCAGAGAGAAAGGCTGGGTCACCCACAAAGGGAAGCCCATCAGACTCACAGTGGATCTCTCAACAGAAACCCTAAGCCAGAAGAGAGTGGGGACTAATATTCAACATCCTTAAAGAAAAGAACTTTCAACCCAGAATCTCATATCCAGCCAAACTAAACTTCATAAATGAAGGAGAAATAAGATTCTTTATGTACAAGCAATTGCTGAAAGATTTTGTCACCACCAGATCTGCCTTATAAGAGCTCCTGAAGAAAACACTAAACATGGAAAGGAACAACCAGTATCAGCCATTGCAAAAATGTACCAAATGGTAAAGACCAACAATGCAATGAAGACACTGTATCAACTAATGGGCAAAACAACCAGCCAGTAACAAAATGGCAGGATCAAACTCACACATAACAATATTAACATTAAATGTAAACAGCCTAAATGCCCTAATCAAAAGACACAGACTGGCAAACTGGATAAAAAGTCAAGACCCATCAGTGTGCTGTATTCAGGAGACCATCTCAAGTACAAAGACACACATAGGCTCAAAAGAAGGGGATGGAAGAAGATTTACCAAGCAAATAAAGACCAAGATAAAAGCAGGGGTTGCAATCATAGTCTCTGATAAAACGGACTTTAAACCAACAAAGATCAAAAGAGACAAAGAAGGGCATTACATAATAGTAAAAGAATCAATCCAACAAGAAGAGCTAACTATCCTAAATATAAATGCACCCAATACAGGAGCACCCAGAGACATAAAGCAAGTTCTTACGAATTACAAAGAGACTTAGACTCAGATACAATAACAGCGGGAGACTTTAACACTCCACTGTCAATATTAGGCAGATCAACAAGACAGAAAACCAACAAGGATATCCAGGACTTGAACGCAGATCTGGATCAAGTGGACCTAACAGACATCTACAGAACTCTTTACCCCAAAAGCACAGAATATACTTTCTTCTCAGCATCACATTGCACTTAATCTAAAATTGACCACATAATTGGAAGTAAATCCCTCCTTAGCAAATGCAAAAGAATGGAAATCATAACAGTCTTTCAGACCACAGTGCAATCCAATTACAACTCAGGATTAAGAAACTCACTCAAAACCACACAACTAAATTGAAACTGAACAACTTGCTCCTGAATGATGACTGGATAAAAAAATGAAATGAAGGCAGAAATAAAGATGATCTTTGAATGGGAATGAAGAAACAACATACCAGCATCCCTGGACACATTAAAGCAATGTCTAGAGGGAAATTTATAGCAATAAATGCCCACATAAGAAATGAAGAAAGATCTAAAATTGAAATCCTATCATCAAAATTGAAAGAGCCAGAGGAGCAAGATAAAAAAANAAAAAAAAAAAAAAAAAACCTCAAAAGCTAGCAGAAGACAAGAAATAACTAGGATCAGAGAAGAACTGAAGGAGATAGAGAAACAAAAACCCTTCAAAAAATCCATAAATCCAAGAGCTGTTTTTTTGAAAAGATCAAGAAAATAGACCGCTAGCTAGATTAATAATAGAGAATAGAGAGAAAATCAAAAAGATGCAATAAAAAATGATACAGGGGCTATCACCACTGATTCCAAAGAAATACAAACTACCATCAGAGATTACTACAAACAACTCAATGCACATAAACCAGTAAACCTGGAAGAAATGGATAAATTCCTGGACACTTGCACCCTCCAAGACTAAACCAGGAAGAAGTTGAAACCCTGAATAGACCAATAACAAGGGCTGAAGTTGAGGCAGCAATTGATGGCCAACCAACCAAAAAAAGTCCAGGTCAAGTTGGGTTCACAGCCGAATACTACCAGGTGTACAAAGAGGAGCTGGTACCATTCCTACTGAAAGTATTACAAACAATACAAAAAAAAGGTAATCCTCCATAACTTATATTATGAGACCAACATTATGCTGATACCAAAACCTGGCAGAGACACAACTAGAAAAGTTCAGGTCAATATCCATGATGAACATCAATGCAAAGATCTTCAATAAAATACTGGCAAACCGTATGCAACAGCACATCAAAAAGCTTACCCATCACGATCAAATAGGCTTCACCCCAAGGATGCAAGGCTGGTTCAACATATGCAAATCTATAAACATAATCCATCATATAAACAGAACCAATGACAGAAACCATATGATTATCTCAATAGATCCGGAGAAGGCCTTTGACAAAATTCAACAGCACTTTATGCTAAAAACTCTCAATAAACTAGGTGTCAATGGAACATATCTCAAAATAAAAAGCTATTTATGAAAAACCCACAGCGAGTATCATACTGAATGGGCAAAAACTGGAAGCATTCCCTTTGAAAACTGGCACTAGACAAGGATGCCTCTCTCACCACTCTTATTCAATACAGTATTGGATGTTCCAGCCAGAGCAGTCAGGCAAGAAAAAGAAATAAAGGGTATTCAATTATGTAAAGCGGAAGTCAAATTGCCTCTATTTGCAGATGACATGATTGTATATTTAGAAGACATACACCAATGGAACAGAACAGAGGCCTTGGAAGTAACACCACACTTCTACAACCATCTGATCTTTGACAAACCTGACAAAAACACCAATTAGGAAAGGAGCCATGTTTAACAAATGGTGTTGGGAAAACTGGCTAGTCATGTGCAAAAAGCAGAGAATAATAAAAGCTATTTACTACAAATCAGGACCTCTTCCTAATACCTTACACTAAAATTAACTCCAGATGGCTTAAAGATTTAAACATGAGACCTAACACTATAAAAATCCTAGAAGAAAA